ATTATAGGTCTTAATGAGGACTAACTCTGTGCAAAATTTCAGCCCGATCGATCCAATAGTTTTTGAGAAAAAGCGATTCGTTTTTAAATCGTTTTCCGCAAATATCTTCAAAACTATTGGACCGATTTCGATTTTTTTTGTTTTCAAAATATTCGTTTCGATGCCGTCTACCTAAATCAATCACAACATACAAACTCATTCGGACAAAGTTTTCGATACATTCCCGTTTCATAAAAGAGTTTGCAATCCCTCTAGCTTTCCCAAAAATCAAGATATCAACTTTTATTATTTGCTGCAATCAACTTAGCGATGATTTTGTTAAACCGGTGAGATAATCTTAATTTCCTCTGCGTCGATGCCCCTCAGTTTGTACAGATGTCCCGTAGGTTATTTTCGATCAACCTCCCGCACCCCTTCAGCCATCCAGAACTGTATTGCACACTCAACTCACTCGTGTTTGAACAACTGCCTCCGACGCGGAATTTTCGCGCTACCGCACGTGTCTGACGTATTGCTCCATTGCAGTAAAAAATGAACAACAATTATTCATCCATTAGTATCTGATTTATCAAATTGTAAATGACAAAATTCTAGAGTGCATGTACGGTTGATTGAAAGTTTAAACAAAATAGAAGATAATTTCCTGGATTCGACGTCTTTTATTCACGTCTAAATGTTAAGGACCTTTTTTGTAGCTGATGAAATTTCCAACGAAGAAAGTCTGTTATTATTTTTCCCTGGAAGCATTCGTTATCAAAACGATTTCGCTCGAAGAAAAGAAAAATGAGTAAATAAATAAAGAAACGGAAAATGAAAATATTTGCTTTATTTCTGGAGGCAATGGCTTCGAGAAATTCGTCGTATTGTGAAATCCACTTTTTTTTTCAACGATAAGATACTTGACCTGGGTGACAAGGATTCCACCGCAATAAACTCGGAGATTGATAGTGCATGTCAATAACACGAGCCACGAATTTGATCTTTCACCGATCGACTGCATCTTCTGAATGAAAGATAAAACGTCTCCATATGTGTATCGTGTTATTTTATTTTTATTATCATCGCTTGTACGAGAGACTCGTGGCCTCGAGTGGAGACCGTGGTGATGCGCAACTGAGGGACTCGATGATGTTTACGAATGGAGAAGATCGATGTGCCTTGGTGGCGCCTGTCGGTGACCTCCTAGACCTCAATACCGATCACGTTTCTGTGGCATCGACATGTCGGATGTTGAGCATCAGTGACATATTGCACTTTAGATATCGTAGGGTTGATTCGTTCCCCGAAAAAAAGACTTTTCTTCATTCTATCGAATGAATTTTTACATTTAGAGTAGTATGAATAATCTTCAGTTGAGTGTAATGAGAAAAAATATATTCAAAAAATAAAAAAAAAAGATTGATCATAGGTCAATTTCCCCATGAATTCTAACTTTGATGAATGCAAGAAATTAATTCATCAGATTCTTTTCTCAAATATTTTTTCAAACAATCGTCGCTCATTTGACTAGGGTGTTTCGACATAACACGCTATATCGGGCACGCAGAGACATAAATTATTTATTGCACGAGTTTGATCCTGATGATTTTCATTATTTTTTTTTTCATTTTTTTTGTAGCGAAGCTACTTATGTATTTATTTCCGATTAATTGAATGTATTGTGTTCAAGCTTGGCTTAACAACCGAATACCTTACCGCGACACGTATCAGCTGATAGATCGCTGTCCTTGTCGCAGGACATCCTCGCGACGATTCGTAATAATTCGGACATCCTCGATCAGATGATTTATATCGTTGTCGCCAGAGCTCACTCTCGTTCTTCTCTCATGGTGTAAACCAAAGTTACGTTTGCTGTGAATAAATCTAATTCGATATATATTAATTCCGAGTGTTATACGTTACAAAACCCATCTATCCTTTACCGAATTCTCAAATTTGTTATTATTTAGTTTTATTTTTTCCTAATTTTTCGAGATTTTTTCTAAATTTTCATCTTCTCCCTTCGAAAAGTTGATTTTCTCATAAGACTGTTATTCTTGCCCTTTTAGACAAATTATTATCAATAATACTAGATTGTCTATTGAACACAAACTCAACCAGAATGTTTCTATTCATATAAACTTTCGTTCATCATTTATTTGAAATTGTACCCTTCAAAAATCAAGTTACGTTTATACTACTTGAAATAAATTGGAAAATTGTGTTCAATTGAGAAATTCGGAAAGCAATTTCCTCCTATTTTGAAATTTGTTTGGTCTTGAGCGAAAGATGTGAGAAACACACCTTTTGAAGAGAGGTTTATAGACATTTTCATTCGTGAAAAACTAATCGTTCTCAATTTTCGCCACTTTGCGATTTTTATTCACGCAAAAATACAATTATGTACCGAAGCAGATGTTCGATACATGAGTTTACACATCCGCACTGGTTATCTTCCCACATGGTGCGATAAAGCTCAGGGTTGCCAGGTGTTTCATTCCTGTTATCATTTTTCTTATTATTAGCTCGAGTTTTTCGCGACTCCCGCCATCTCAAACAGCTCCAAATGGGGACCAGGTGCAAATCTCTCGAGTCGTGCCTTCACCTCAGATTTCATTACACACGAAATCCGCTTATCCTTGATACCCCTGGCCCTCAAAAAAGGGAATGACACGATTTGTTTTCCCTCTGTTTTCAATGTTTTTTTTCGAAACTAATTAATTAGTCTGCGTGACCAAAATCATCGCGCCAAAGTCCACGGTCTCACGCTCACTTCACTCAAGTGATATTTACTGTATGATAAGGAAAAAGTTGAACCAACAAAATATAACCAGACCAGTTTTCTGCCGATCTACAACTCCGGCAAAATCAAGTATTTTATTCGCACGAGTGTTATCTGCAATGTACATACGACGCATAATTAATGTGAGAAACGCAATCGAGATTAGTTACCGTGGGATTTTCAATCGATACATAATCACAAATTGTAAACAATCTTACGCAATGTTTCGATAATTTGTTAATCAACACTTTGAATGCATTTTTTTCTTCAGAATTCGGAAAAATTCGAATTCTAGTCGAATTTCAAAGTTTGCAGAAATAAAAATCAAAAGGGTAATTTTTTCTAATACTTGAAAAATAATAGAAAACAAATTCAAATTCGTATCAAGTAATCATAGTTGAAAAAATCCCTGAGAAAAAAATCGAGTAATTTTTTATAATTTGTGTAAGCCCGATTTTCCTTTAAATACCGAAACAAGTCGAGAATAAGTCCTGAGAGGAAAATAATCGATTAAATGACGTTGTGTGACTTTTCAGAAAAAAATATTTTTGGATGAATTGCTCTATACCAGGATGTATTGAATCGATCGACATAAAATTTTATACACAAGTGTGAATCAATAATACTGTTTAGTAGTCAGAATCTCAGATGTTTATTCCAAGTTTTACGCGTATTCGAGAACGCCCCAATAATTTCAGATTTTTAGCTTCCACTTCAGTTCTTCTTCTGTGAAGATTTATACAAATTTTCTGAAAAATTCGCACATATCCGGAAATACATACATATATTTTCTAAAAGCATCATATCTTCACGTTTCATGACATTCCAAGTCATTTCATGCAAAATTAGAAGATCGTCAAAATGAACGATTACAAAGCTTGCATTCGAAAGGAAAAATATTCAAAAAAATTTCTCCCCCTCGGTAAATTCTGTCATTTCAATAAAAACTAAAGATCCGATGAAAAAAAAGTCACGCGTGTAAGAAGAATCTCTGAAAAAACCTATCACGTTTTATAATCTCTACAAACATTTCCCTTAAAATATTCCGAAAATCTTATTCCTTGTGCTCCAATCACGTTTTCCCCCTTCAATAACCCCCCCCCCCCCCCCCCCCCCCCCCNCCTCTCCTCCTGCACTAAAATAAAACGTCCGCGTCGTGATAGAATTACAACTCTCAATAATTTTATCGGTCTGCCTGTGATAACGCAACGATTCCTAGGTTCACAGTGCAGAAAACTTTGGTATCACCCTCCGCAACTCGAGTAAAAACACTAAAAATAGGTTTAAAAAAACTTGGTCTCGGATTAGCAACCGGCGCCAGCGCCATGTGGCTCGTCTCAGTTGTTAACTGCAGTAGCCGCGAAGGGGGATGAGAAAAATGTACGAATGAGACGGGCAAAAGAGGAATAAGGAATGAGTATTCAGAGTGAAAAATAAACGACACGAGTGAGAGGGGAAAAGAGGGCAATCTGTAATCGAGAAACCTGAAGCGGCTGCGACAACGCCATATACGTACGCTACCGTCGGTGGATCGGAGCGATAAATTATTGTTGCGACTATCGATCAGACGTTACGTTACTGGTTACCCTTCCGAGAGCCAATTATTTATCGTTAAAACGTTGGGTTAAACTTTACAAATTTCTATTCTAAAAATCCATGTTTAGTACTTTATAATTGGAAAATCGATAAATATTCTCCTGGCTAAACAACATAATTCATTATGAATCAAAAAAATTATTTCAAATAATTGAGAGTGACTTTTTCAGTCCAACGATCTAAAAACTGAACCTGTGGTGTTGTTATTTTCGAGAGAATAATTTCCAATTGAACAGTGGTTGAGCCTTGTTGTTGAATAATAAATCACGCCCCAACCTGGGCAATCGCCAGATGGTGGCAGCTGGATGACGGGGCTTTAGAGACGCGTCACTTGAATCACTGGCGAGTAATGTTGAAACGAGTATTAAAAGTAGATTCATGCGGTTTTAACAATAAAAACTGTCCAAGTATAAAAAGACCATTAGAAGACCGATGAAAACATTGCAAATCACTCTGTGCAGTACGAAGGCCATTAATTCCAGTTGTTAATTAACGCGTGACGAGTGTCTTTACTTGATTAACTTCTCAACTCACCATCCACTGTTCATCAACTCATCATGAACACCATGAACCAACCAATTTAAAACAGGAACATCCTGAAGACATGACGACTAATCTTCGCGTTCTCCTTTTCTGATTACAGCAGGTGTAATGGCGGGCACAGAACGCGACGCAGGTTTCTGCAGCGGTGGTGACGAGGACGACATGTCAGGTCTCCACTCACCAAGTGCCTCTGAAGACAGCGTGGAAGTCCAGATCTCCCCGATCTCCTTGAGGAACAAGCGAAAATTAGCGGAACCTCGAAAGCTCCAAGAGCAGTCGACAGCTCCCCTGAAGAAGCGTCGTTTCGACCTCATCCAGGAGTCGTCAGCAGTCGTCGACGAGGAGTCAAGGCCCCCAAACACGCCATCCCCATCGCCTTTCCGTCCATGGAGCAGTCCGGCCAAGCCGACAGAATCCAAAACCCAATCATCCTCGAAGCCCTGCGAAACCTCTCGCAAAACGTCTGAGAAGTTCCTGACGACTGACCTAAGGATTCAAGAGGAGAGATGGCGGCAGGAGGAGGCGAGGAGACGTGCGGAGGAGGCACAGAGGCAGCACGAAGCGAGAATCCAGGAGGAGGTGCTTGCAAGACTCCAGGAGTCCGAAGCGAGAAGAACAACATCGCCTGTTTCATCCCAGACATCAAGTTCTTCTGTCGCGTCTTCACAGAGTCGGGAGAGGCAGAGGTTCCAGCCACCCCCGCCACCTCCACCTCCTCCAGCACCTCTCAGACTGCAGGAGGAACCTTTGGCGTTGGTTTTGAGGGGAGAACCTCCGAGAGTGCCGGCACATCCAGCTGTCAACGGAAGCTTCGAGCGCAGTTCGACGTTCAGCATGGTGGAGCCAACTTTCTCGGATAGCTCCAGGGATGGCAGTCAGAGGGGGGGTGATCAGAGAAATCATCAGAATGGTCAACAGAGAAACTATAAGAACATGACAAGGGAGAGGAGGATAGAGGCCAATGCCAGGGAAAGAACGAGAGTTCACACCATCTCAGCTGCTTTCGATACTCTTAGAAAATCCATCCCAGCTTATTCTCATAATCAGAAGCTTTCGAAATTGTCGGTTCTGAGGATTGCGTGCAGCTATATCATGACCCTGAGCAAAATAGCCAACACCCCGGAGGGAGAGGAGACGACGAGCTCGGCCCTTGGCACCTGTGTTGACATGGTCTCCAGGACGATCCAGACGGAGGGCAAGCTGAGGAAGAAGAAGGATGAATAGGGTTCGGGTCTTTTGGTTTTCAAGGTCGGGGGAACTGGTGTCCTAGGCCGACGCAAGATCACAATGCTCAATGACTTCGCCAATCTTGCTGTTAGGGTTAAGATTTTTCTCGAATTTAGTTAAGGGGATGTTTTGACAATAGTTTTTAGGGCAGGGTGAGAGAATCTGAAGACAATAAATGAATTTTCTTTTTAATTCTTTGGAATTGGGATCATGTGTTTCTAAAGAATCTGAGGAAAGTGGAGGGGATTTGTGATGTAATATTAAAATTAATTGATAACTGAACTTTTGGAGTATGTTTTATGAGCTTTGTAGGATTTACGATTGGGTGAAATAGGATTACTATTATTTTGGAAACAGCTAAATTCAATGCAAAATCATGCTTCCAGTTATTCGTTGACTGACGCCAAGTACAAAAACTTCAACTGCTTTTTTTAATTTTCTTGAGGGAAAACATAGGATAAAATTAGGGTAATTGTCAAAGCTCCGTTGTACATAATTGATGATGTTAAGTCAGTGAAAGCCGTCGGTGACGGTTTTGTTATTTTTAAAAAGAATGAATTTGCGCATAAGATATTAGTTTTAATCCCAACGAGATCTAAGGCTCTTACGATCTTCTCGACAAGAAATTATATGGATATATTATATTGACTAATAGATTATATGATTATATGAAGTAAAGTGCGTGCGCTTGAATAGCGCTCATGTCCTGTATGTACCTTTCTACAGATTGTAGATTTATTGCCAAGTGGTCTTTTTTTTCTCTTGAATTTTAATATTTTAAAATTCAATAAAACCAAGTGATTCCTAACAATTAAATACTGCATTTTTACTCATTCACGTCCCTAACTTTCATCCCTTACTTTCTAGAGTTAAAATTTTTGGGAGATGAGTTGGATTATGAAAATTGGCTTGAACGGAGACCCGAAAGCATGTGCACTAATCGCGTTGAGTTCGAAGGAAAGCAATATCATCTTTTCCTTCTGTCAAAGTATTCTTCTCTTTGAAAGAATATTATCTCATTTCGAAAAGGATGCTATCCAATGAAAACATACGCTTTAGCTTTCGTTCGCTGCGATGCGAAATTCATTGAATTTACTTTTGATTTGGTGTGAATAATCATTAGTCCTGATGTTCAGATGAGAACAGTTGAGAGCTTGCAATGCACTCAGGCAATCTGAAAAAATATGTATATCCTTATTGGTGTGTTGGAGAGCAATATTCATTGCCTCCACAAAAATTATGTTCGTCACTTAAGTTCGTCAATTATGTTGATCAAAAACAACTTTTCTGACTCGTGTTATTGCAGTCCGGGGCTTTGCCTCGGTTTGCAACCTTCACACTCGTCAGAAAAGTTTTTTTCGACCTGGCGACGAAAATAGTTATTTCGGCCTTGTGACGATATTATGTCATCAGGCGATAAAAGTATTATTTGACTCGTGGGATTATAATCCTCGCCTACGGCTACGAATGTTACTTTATAACTCGAGCCGTAGGCGAGGATTATAATCACATGAGTCAGATAATAGTTTCATCACCGCGTGATATACAATGCATCGGGTCCGAAAATCGCGATCTAACCGAGCGAAGCGAGAGTAACATCACGGTTTATCGGCCCTGCACGGAGAAAATTATTTGGTGAATTTCAAAAACTGGTTGGTAATTCATTTTTTTACAACTATAAACTATAAGGGTCACGAGGGGTATAATAAGGGTTACGAAGGTTAGATTAAGGGTCAGAAAGGTCAGAATAGGGATCATGGGAGTCATCTGTAGGTCATATGAGGGTTGGCGAGCGGAGCGAGCAGGAGGTGTAGCCTAAATTCTAATGCCATTACTTTTAACAAATCGGTGCATTATTTATAAGGGTTTCAAATTCTTAAATGCCAGGAATGGATTTATGGTGAATGGTCTGGGACAGCGACGTTGAATCAATTTATTGACTCAACGACCCATTTGTTCTCTTCCCTTAAACTAGAGGGGACAATACCAGAGGACGTGATCTATATCTTGTGTCTCAGAGTTACCTCTACAACTGCATTCCGGGCAACTTACAATATTTAATCTGTGCAATGATTTATTCAGATATGGGAGTGATTTGATCTGGTCCTATTGGCCCAAGTAACTAATTCTGTGGGGAGTTTTCGTTCCACATAGGAGAGACGATGCCTGTACCGCTCAGGAGCCAATACCCCTCACCTGATTTTCTCCACAACCACTCACTTTTCCCGCACTGTCTCGTACTCAATTTGAGAACTCTACTATTAGGATGTAATTCTCATGAAAATTTTCGTTTTTTCGCCACTTTAAATGTGATTTTTATGCACCAGTACGGAAGGTTTTTCACTATGACAATAGCATTATCATCACATAAAAGTATGATCAATCGCTTTGTAGTTCTTTTTTACATCATTTGACATCGAATAATCTACTTTTTTCATTATTTAATTAATAATTAGAGAATGTTTTCTCAAATTCGGTCGATGTCGCTAATACCGTTGAGCCAGTGTGACTAATATCGCTCAGTTTGAGGCCAATACCGCTCATTGCCTGACAGCTCACATATGCAATTGCTTGTGGACACAAAAAATCACTCAAGTACAACATAATTAGTGATTCCTCTTATGAAAATCTATTTTAAGAGATATTTTCGGATCATGAAAGAATCATTTGAAAATGAGAATGGCTGTGACGGAGTGCTGATTAAAATTTGTAATTGTTGAAAAATTAGGGGAGGGTTATGAATTGATTTCCCAGAAAACTGAAAAAATTTCTTGAATTCTTCGGAAAATTCCACCGTTTTCCAGATAACCGTAGCTCTTCAAAGATTTTTCTCGAATTATTTAAGAAACCGAAGAATTCTCATGAATTTTGTAGAATTTAGGATTTATGTATGAAAATCAGAGAAGCAAGAACTGATCATTTATGCGTATGATAAATATGAAAAAATTAAAATTGGCCGTGACTATTCGCACCATTGCGTGAATCACTCCCGTACACGCCATACAGTCCACGCATGCGTGAAGTTTGTGTGTTTCACGCAGCCGAATTTTCATACTGCTGTGTATTTCACGCAGTTGAAGTTTCATACTACTGTGTGTTTCACGCAGTTGAAGTTTTATACTACTGTGTGTTTCACGCAGTTGTATTTTTATACTACTGTGTGTTTCACGCAGTTGAAGTTTCATACTACTGTGTGTTTCACGCAGTTTTCGCGTGCCAATAGAATTGCGTTTACCGCAATTTTCCCGGAGGGTCATCTTGTATAGGGGGTAGGAAGTGGAAAAACGTAATTCTGAGCCGTCCATCTGCCTATACGGAATCCAAATTTCCTCAGGAATCGAATCGAATAGGTTTTAAGGCTCTCATAGTTTCCGAGATAACCGCGAAAAACGAAAATGCCAAAAGAAATAATTTAATTCATCTTGTATAAGGCCTAGGAAGTGGAAAAACGTAATTCTGAGCCGTCCATCTGCCTATACGGAATCCAAATTTCCTCAGGAATCGAATCGAATAGGTTTTAAGGCTCTCATAGTTTCCGAGATAACCGCGAAAAACGAAAATGCCAAAAGAAATAATTTAATTCATCTTGTATAAGGCCTAGGAAGTGGAAAAACGTAATTCTGAGCCGTCCATCTGCCTATACGGAATCCAAATTTCCTCAGGAATCGAATCGAATAGGTTTTAAGGCTCTCATAGTTTCCGAGATAACCGCGAAAAACGAAAATGCCAAAAGAAATAATTTAATTCATCTTGTATAAGGCCTAGGAAGTGGAAAAACGTAATTCTGAGCCGTCCATCTGCCTATACGGAATCCAAATTTCCTCAGGAATCGAATCGAATAGGTTTTAAGGCTCTCATAGTTTCCGAGATAACCGCGAAAAACGAAAATGCCAAAAGAAATAATTTAATTCATCTTGTATAAGGCCTAGGAAGTGGAAAAACGTAATTCTGAGCCGTCCATCTGCCTATACGGAATCCAAATTTCCTCAGGAATCGAATCGAATAGGTTTTAAGGCTCTCATAGTTTCCGAGATAACCGCGAAAAACGAAAATGCCAAAAGAAATAATTTAATTCATCTTGTATAAGGCCTAGGAAGTGGAAAAACGTAATTCTGAGCCGTCCATCTGCCTATACGGAATCCAAATTTCCTCAGGAATCGAATCGAATAGGTTTTAAGGCTCTCATAGTTTCCGAGATAACCGCGAAAAACGAAAATGCCAAAAGAAATAATTTAATTCATCTTGTATAAGGCCTAGGAAGTGGAAAAACGTAATTCTGAGCCGTCCATCTGCCTATACGGAATCCAAATTTCCTCAGGAATCGAATCGAATAGGTTTTAAGGCTCTCATAGTTTCCGAGATAACCGCGAAAAACGAAAATGCCAAAAGAAATAATTTAATTCATCTTGTATAAGGCCTAGGAAGTGGAAAAACGTAATTCTGAGCCGTCCATCTGCCTATACGGAATCCAAATTTCCTCAGGAATCGAATCGAATAGGTTTTAAGGCTCTCATAGTTTCCGAGATAACCGCGAAAAACGAAAATGCCAAAAGAAATAATTTAATTCATCTTGTATAAGGCCTAGGAAGTGGAAAAACGTAATTCTGAGCCGTCCATCTGCCTATACGGAATCCAAATTTCCTCAGGAATCGAATCGAATAGGTTTTAAGGCTCTCATAGTTTCCGAGATAACCGCGAAAAACGAAAATGCCAAAAGAAATAATTTAATTCATCTTGTATAAGGCCTAGGAAGTGGAAAAACGTAATTCTGAGCCGTCCATCTGCCTATACGGAATCCAAATTTCCTCAGGAATCGAATCGAATAGGTTTTAAGGCTCTCATAGTTTCCGAGATAACCGCGAAAAACGAAAATGCCAAAAGAAATAATTTAATTCATCTTGTATAAGGCCTAGGAAGTGGAAAAACGTAATTCTGAGCCGTCCATCTGCCTATACGGAATCCAAATTTCCTCAGGAATCGAATCGAATAGGTTTTAAGGCTCTCATAGTTTCCGAGATAACCGCGAAAAACGAAAATGCCAAAAGAAATAATTTAATTCATCTTGTATAAGGCCTAGGAAGTGGAAAAACGTAATTCTGAGCCGTCCATCTGCCTATACGGAATCCAAATTTCCTCAGGAATCGAATCGAATAGGTTTTAAGGCTCTCATAGTTTCCGAGATAACCGCGAAAAACGAAAATGCCAAAAGAAATAATTTAATTCATCTTGTATAAGGCCTAGGAAGTGGAAAAACGTAATTCTGAGCCGTCCATCTGCCTATACGGAATCCAAATTTCCTCAGGAATCGAATCGAATAGGTTTTAAGGCTCTCATAGTTTCCGAGATAACCGCGAAAAACGAAAATGCCAAAAGAAATAATTTAATTCATCTTGTATAAGGCCTAGGAAGTGGAAAAACGTAATTCTGAGCCGTCCATCTGCCTATACGGAATCCAAATTTCCTCAGGAATCGAATCGAATAGGTTTTAAGGCTCTCATAGTTTCCGAGATAACCGCGAAAAACGAAAATGCCAAAAGAAATAATTTAATTCATCTTGTATAAGGCCTAGGAAGTGGAAAAACGTAATTCTGAGCCGTCCATCTGCCTATACGGAATCCAAATTTCCTCAGGAATCGAATCGAATAGGTTTTAAGGCTCTCATAGTTTCCGAGATAACCGCGAAAAACGAAAATGCCAAAAGAAATAATTTAATTCATCTTGTATAAGGCCTAGGAAGTGGAAAAACGTAATTCTGAGCCGTCCATCTGCCTATACGGAATCCAAATTTCCTCAGGAATCGAATCGAATAGGTTTTA